GGGGGGGGGGGGGGGGGGGGGGGGGGGGGGTCACCAAGCCTCCCCCTCCTTAGACAACCACCAAGTCTCCTGTTTTGGGGTTAGTTATCATAGAATCCCTACAGTGTGGAAACAGGCCCTTTGGCCCAACAAGTCCACACCAACCCACAGAGCATCCCACCCAGACCTGTTCCCCCAAGCTACACATCCCTGAACACTATGGACAATATAGCACGGCCAATCCACCCCATCCTGCACATCTTTTGGACTGTGGGAGGAAACCCACGCAGTCACGGGGAGAACGTGCAAACTCCGCACAGACAGTCGCCCGAGGGTGGAATCGAACTCAGGTCCCTGGCGCTGTGAGGCAGCAGTGCTAACCACTGAGCCACCGTGCCGCCCCGTTATGGATCACAGTCTGCCAGGACTCCCAGACCTGGTCGCCAACAGGTAATCTTTGCTCAAAAAATACACACAGACTTCAAATTGGCTGTGACACGCCCCTCAGCTAAACAGCCAACCAACACTCTGTCACAGTGGGGGGATTAGAAGGATTGTGTGTGGACACATTTGAAAATTTGCATACAAGATCAATTCAAACAAGAGAAGGATATACTAAAGGCATTGATTTGAAGGTAAAACTGGAGAGACGTTGGTTTTATGTTGGTATATGCTGGGCACTCACCATCATGGCTCGCCGTGTGTGTCAGTAGTAACTCTGAGCTTGATTTAAACTCCTGCAGAATATTAAAACAGAATGAGACATTTTAGTAACAGTGAAACTGAGCTAAGCTTGTGCTGTTAGGAGGGAGACAGATTGTACAACTCTGAGAGACTGTGATGACTTTGTTGGTGTCTCGCTGAGCTGAGAGAGAGGGAGCAGCTGAGAGAGATATTAAACAGGCTCATGCCGTTAGTGAGAGATCATGGATTCTAAAAAAAAGGCACTGCATCCCAAATAGTTTGGCGACGTTCCACTCCAATGTTCGCTCAGCTCGGCTGCCTCCTCAGCTCAGAGGAAGGGACACCGGACCCGAAACGTTAACTCTGATTTCTCTTCACAGATGCCGCCACACCTGCTGCTGAGCTCTTCCAGCAATTTCTGTTTTTGTAGCCGCAATGATAGACTGGTCTCGTTGCGCCCAGGTTAGCAAGGAGTTCTGTCACAGGGATTCAGGAAAATGTACGCATGCAGTCAGACTAAAGTTATCTGAAGCACTCTGCAGGGGGGAAAGCCACGTTGTTTCGGCAAGGGGTGAGAAAATAACAGGTAACTACGGATCTGTACCTAAAGGGATTACTGTGCATCGACCTAGACTAGCCGGAAATTTATCCCGGCATTGGCAATCTATGAATTGGATACTTGGAAAGGACAAAGATAGATACAGGGCCAAGAGGGTTTGAGCAGAGGAATGGAGCTAATGGAATCTTCTTTTTTAAATCATTTGTACATGGGAAGCAGATGTCACTGGCAAGGCCAGTATTTATTGCTTGTCCACACTGACCTTGAACTGACGTGTTTGTTAGGCCACTCTAGAAGTCAACATCACGGTGGGTCTGGAGTCACGTGTAGGCCAGACCAGGTAAGGATGGCAGAACTCCCTCCCTAAAAAGGCATCAGTGAACCAGACAGGTTTTTAATGACATTTGACAAGGATCACCATTCGGCGATGCACACGTTTTGCATAGAATCTCAGAATCATAGAATCCCCATGCTGCGGAAACAGGCTGTTTGGCCCATCGACTGCACAGCACAACCCCCCAGGTTCCTGGCACTGTGAGGCAGCAGTGCTAACCACTGTACCAAAAATCTGAATTTTTTTAAATTAAAATTTCACCATCTGTCATGGTGGGGTCTGAACCCCATGTGCCCAGAGCATTAGTCCAGTGATGTCACTTCCTTCCCATAGTAGCTCAAAGGGCCTGGCACAGGAAGGATGTCTCAGAATGGTCACCTTCTGTGATCTCGGGTGAGTTTAGAGCTTGCCGTATCAGTGGCTGTCTTTTGAAGCATGGGGCTTTGGCTAAATGATGTTCTCCAGATTCACAAAGACACTGGTTGCTCATAGCAACGCAAATTATTTTTCTCTTTAAAAGCAACAACACTGGCTCTGGGCTTAATTCACTATAACTGAAGCTTTCAACATTAAACAAATGCAGCTGCTGGTCTTTGGGTTCATCAATCAACATATCAAAGCATTTAATCCAACTCTACATCAAACAGTATCCTTACTGGGATACTCTACAGGAAATAGGGATGATTAAAGAATTCATTTTACATTTTAAAGATAGCACAGTTCACGACTGAACAAGAATCTAACATTTATCCACAATTCATACAACAATAAGAATTTTTTTGGTGATAAATTAGATCATCCTAATTTACTTGTGGTCCCATTCACATGTCAGCCCTATGTTCACTGACTGGCACCCACTCCTGCAACACTCCAATATTAAAATTCTCATCTGTCTTTTCAAATCCCTTAATGGTCTTGCTGCTCCTCATCACTAACATCTTCCAACTGCTCGACCCTCAGAGATCTCTGTGCTCCATCACTTCCAGCCTCTTGCATATCCCGGATTTTAACCGCTCCTCTCTCTGCCTCTAAGATCTCTTAAAGCCTCCTTCTTAGACCAAGCATCTGGTCACATTTCCCCAGACAATGTGAAACCTACGACTGACAGTCACTCCTGCCAGCACATTGGGGTGCTTTACGTTGGTAAAAAGTGTTTTATAAATGCAGAGATAACACAGTATGGAGATGGAGGAGCACAGCGAGCCAGGCAGCATCAGAGGAGCAGGACAGTTGACGATTCAGCTCAGAAAACGAAGAAGGGTCCCGACCAGAAACTTCACCTTTCCTGCTCCACTGATGCTGCCTGGCCTGCTGTGTTCCTCCAGCTCCACACGGTGTTATCTGTGACTCCAGCATCAGCAGTTCTTACTATCTATGGAGTGACTTTTATAAATGCAGGTTGTTGCTGATAGTGCCAACAAATTCCCTCAAACAAGAAGTACCTCGGGACTGTTTAATGAACAGGAAATCGAGGCCAATGAGTGGAGGCTATTCCCACCACCAGAACTTACTGGCACAACTGAGGGCCAATTCCCAGGTGAACCTGTCGGGAACACAGGGATTGGGACAGCATGAATACAGAGGTATCCCATAGGGTCCACACAGTCAGCTCAGCGAATAAGAGGGGCTCAGAGTAGACAAAGCCTGAACCTATGAGCAGGGATTGGTTCAACTGTACTCATTAGAGTTCAGAAGGATGAGAGGGAATCAAATTGAAACATGAAACATATAAAATTCTAACAGGGCTGGACAGACCAGATGCAGGGAGGACATTTCTCTGGTTGGGGTGCAAGTCTACAACACAGTGGCTCAGTGGTTAGCACTGCTGCCTCACAGTGCCAAGGTCTGTAGATGTGAGGCTGGAAAAGCACAGCAGGTCAGACAGCATCTGAGGAGCTGGAAAGTCAATGTTTCAGTCCTGACAAAGGGTTTCAGCCCAAAACATTGACTTTCCTGCTCCTCGGATGCTGTCTGACCTGTGCTTTTCCAACCTCACACCTATAGAATCTGGCTTCACAGCGCCAGGGACCCAGGTTCGATTCCACCCTTGGGCAACAGTCTGTGTGGAGTTTGCACATTCTCCCCCACGTCTCTGTGGGTTTCCTCCAGGTGCTCCGGTTTCCTCCCACAGTCCAAAGATATGCAGGTTAGGGGGATTATTGTCCCGTACTGTCCACGGATGTGCAGGCTGGGCGGATTAGCCTTGGGAAATGCAGGATTGCAGGGACAGGGTGGGTGGGATGCTCTTTGGAGACTTGGTGTGGATTCAATAGGGCTAATGACCTGCTTCCACACAGTAGGGATTCTACAAAAAAAATAAAAAAATAACAATAGACAGAGTCTTAGGGCACAGGGAAATTTAGGATTAAAATGAGGAAAAATGTCTTTGGTCACGGGGTAACGAACATTTGGAATTCTCTGCTACAGAAAGCTGTGGAGGCCAAGTCACTGAGTATATGCAAGAAAAAAATGGATATATTTTTTGAATTTAAAGGCATCATTCAGTAGGGGAATAAAGCAGAAAGGTTGCATTGAGATAGAGGACGAGTCAGGATAGTACTGAATGGGGATGCAGGCTCAAAGAACCGAATGGCCTACTCGTGCTGCTATTTCTAGATTTTCTGCTTGGACTGGGAGGGAGATTTCAACTCCTTTGTACCTGGTAAGATACAAAGCACGATGATAATAACCACAGTGTGTCAGGAATCTGTGTGACATTAACAGTCTGGGATTGCAGTCTCAGCAACTGTTCAAAGAGCAGGAGATACTAAAGATGACAAGGATTGCTGCTGAGATTTTAACCCCCAAGCCCGTACGGCGTGGCGCTGGGCTGGGGACATTAGAAAAATCAGGCTCTCTTTTGTTTGACAGACTCAGACATTTAATTCTCCCCACAAGGCGACTGCGAATAACACCTTTCACTCCCATTTTCTATTTCAAGACAGCAGGAGCTGATCCTAAGCGCAGCAATCAATGTGCATCCCCTCCCCACAAAAAAAAATAAAGGGAATAAAGTTAAATAAAGCTCAAAAAAATGTCCAGCGCTTGAAAGAAATCTCAACCCAGGAGATTAACGACATGAGCTGCCTTGTCAGATCACCAGCCCGAGATTATCCAGTCATTCCCCACCCGCACACCTCCCCCCAACCCCCCACTCCAATCTCACACACGTACAGACTCCTGATGGAAATAACATGCCACAGGCAAGACCACCTCATGCTTACGAAACGGGGAACTGGATGAGATAGTTGGGCTGACCAGAACTTGTCACATAATGTTCCAGCTCACAAACGAACCATTCAGCCCAGCTTCTCTGTCCTGGCTGTTTCTGCTCCACGACTCTTCCCCCACCCCTATCACCATCTAATTCCAACACCCTCTCCCTCGTGTGTTTGTTTACCCAACTTCTCCGTTTCAATGGATCCACACTATTCACCTCCAACAGTCCCTTTGGGGGTGGGGGGTGTGGGGGTGTGGGGGGTGGGGGGTGGGGGGGTGGGGGGGGGGGGGGTGGGGGGGGTGTGGGGTGCGCGGAGGAGTGTGGAGTGTCCCACATTCTCCCCACTCTCAGGGAGGGTTGAGGATTTATAGCCTGCAGTTCTACCCCACCAAACCTGTGCAGCCCCCGACCCTAACCCCCCTGCACCCCACTACCACTCTCCCTTCACCAAGAGCAGTGGATGACAAGGCTGGATTCTGTCCTGTTCAGAACATCCATGTCTCACAGAACCCACTTTCCTTCCCCTGCACTCCCCGTTCCCTCCTCCTCACCACCTTTCTCCCCACTTCCCCCCATATTCCCCCCCTCCCCCCCCCCCCCCCCCCCCCCCACCCCTCCCCTCCCCCCCCCCCCC